ACGGCGGATTATGTTCTCTCGTGTAGACGTATACGGCGGATTATGTTTCCTCGTGTAGACGTATACGGCGGATTATGTTCTCTCGTGTAGACGTATACGGCGGATTATGTTTTCTCGTGTAGACGTATACGGCGGATTATGTTCTCTCGTGCAGACGTATACGGCGGATTATGTTCTCTCGTGTAGACGTATATACGGTGGATTATGTTCTCTCGTGTAGACGTATACGGCGGATTATGTTCCCTCGTGTAGACGTATACGGCGGATTATGTTCTCTCGTGTAGACGTATACGGCGGATTATGTTCCCTCGTGTAGACGTATTTAACCCGTATTCGTTATACTCATGTAGACCTCTAACCCGAATTTCGTTCTCTCGTGTAGAGCCACAGATGTTTACTCTGTGTTCCCCTAACCCGTAATCCGTTGTGGTAGTGAAGGACTTTGGATTCTTCGAGACGGCTAGTTTATATCGATTGGCGTAACACCAAACAATGACAGTGAAAAGCATCAACAACTATAATACAAACACCATCTACACATGTGGTGTAAATATAGGAAGGCCTATGAATAGCAGGGCCGTAGGCTGAGCAAAATCCCAGGGGGCAGTGGCGGATCCAGGATTTCAAGGAGGGGTGATAAACACGTGGGGGGCTGGGGGGTCCTCCCACAGAAAAATTTTGAAAATGTAGATCGCAGGAGATGGCATTTGAGGCACTTTTGAGTACATGTACTATAAAAGCCGCTTCATTCTGACTACGACAATTCTTTTTTATTAGAACAATTCATTTTTTTTAATTTTGCTTCAAAATCTATGAGGCAGCTCCCCCCCCCACCCGCAGGCTACGGCCCTGAATGGCAGCTTTCTGCCTATTCGTGAGTTCGTGCGTCACTATAGGTCTATGCATGCCACAGAAAACAGACTCGGACGTAAGCACGCATCACAGCAAATATCGGGAGTGAAGAAAAACTTATTCATTGCTGATATATATATATATAGTATAGTATAAGTGTACTGAGGCAGTTAAAACACGTTCATTCGCAGACACCGCACACGTGGCACATACCACACCAAAGATATACAAACCATATGAAGACAGTTAGTGTATCACAAATATGAAGAGGGTCAAAATGGGATATAGTACAAGGCGTGAATAGTCTAATAAATATTGTGAAAACCCACAATTCAGATATGCGTACTTCCTTTCTAACGCGATGACGCGTACGTACTTGAATTTCGTTTTTGCAAATTTGTTATACGAACTCTTGGTTTTCATTTTGATTTTGCTAACTATATCATACTGATGACTAGAAAACGCTTCAACCATTTGGGTTATCCCAACCGGACCCTCTCAGAGTTTGTTTTTCCCAATATTTCCATTTCGCATCAAGTAAGGTACTAAAGCCCACTCGTGAATAATGATTCGCACGCAAGCTTGTGTACAACAGTTTACAGTATGTATCATGCATGATCATGTAAACATTGACACACACGTGCCTCGTTGTTTGATTAAACCTCTCATTCAAAAATAAGGTAAATATAGTTTGTATGTAGGTCAAGGTAGTTAGTTAACGAACTCACATTCAGCATGTAGATTACTGTCATGGTAGTTAGCACTGTTATGATTAAACCCACACAAATTTAATTACATTTATCACGACAAAATTTATTTAGGTAAACGGACTTTGTACAATATTACTGTTTTGCAAGAATAGGTACGACCAACAAGAAAACAAATCCGAAATTGTCAACCTGAATACATGGTACTGGTGCTTACTAGTGTCAGGATGACAATGATTACACATTTTGACGATACAAGTAAAATTGCAAAAAAGCGTTTGACATTTGACATTAAAAACCTAACCATGATCAAAATTACTCAATGGAAACCACAGGGTCTCATACATGTATCAAGCTATATGCAGTAACACACAACATTAAATCTGAGAAATGCTACGAAGTCTTCATAACAACATTTGTCACCCTTTCCTTTGTGCTACACCAATCACATTTAACAGTAACGTGTCTATCTTGGAACTATATTTACATGGGGATAAATTTGAAATGCAATTATGGACTTTCTATGATTGCATACAATGCAGAGTGATTTACAAACATCCAATATAGATAGAAGAGGCATTAGTAACGTACTGGTCTATGGCAACTACCAGCTCAATCGCACACAGCACACTCTCCATTCAGTGAAGGCACTGAGTCTAATACACTTTCTTACAGCTGAACAACTCAATGACCTCAGAAAATATCTGACAACTCACACTTGCGACCAAAAACGTACTAAAAGAGACAATATCAAGAAAATTTCCTTTTAAAATAATTGTCAAACTGTGGGGAAGAAACCTATTTTGTTTATATATAAAAGACAGCTAGGCTCTTTGCGTAGTGTTCACGGGTGACACGGAATTGGCTTCCTTATTCCTACAAGAATGTCACTGAAAGTTGAAACTTCCATAAACTTCTGCCAGTACATGTTTCATGTCTTGCCACTGTCACTAAAAGGCCACAATTAAACAGACTTTATTCAGAGTACTGAGCAGAATCTTTACCACAGGACCTCCCGCCTACATGGATACGGCTTCGAGCCCAACCCTCCCCTCCTGGAGGTATTTTACTCGGGAAGTAATTGAAGAATGTGTTTATGTTCACTGCCGCTGGTAGGGATGATAACCACTGCTCCTTCCTCCTCCCTTTTGCTTGCCATAGTCACCACCACTCTGGTCTCCATAGCCCCACCCACTGTAGTCATACGCACCTGCTGAAACGAAGATACAGTGTCAAACACCACCAACACCAAAGTCAACTGTAATGCATGCTTGCAGGTGAGCATATAAGGAAGAAATTACAATATTTCAATACGCAGCCATTACAATACTGTCTTAATGGGGGTTTCCAGAGAATAAGTGCACCTGGTTTTATTGTATAACGTGTGATCATAATGACATCACTGATGATAACCTACCCCCATTTCCGTACCCGCCGTAACCGCCATAACCTTGTCCATCGTATCCCCACGACGAGTAATCATAGTTCTGTCCACCAGGTGCATATCCACTGCCGTAACCACCGTAACTACCGTAGCCTCCGCTTCCGTAACCTCCACTGCCGTAATCGTAATTTCCATAGCCTCCGTAGCCTCCGCCGTAGCCCTGGTCGTAGCCACCGCCCCAGCCACCACCCTGGTTCCAACCACCTGTACATATCACACGCAGCATAAACACAAATGTACTTTACACAAAGTGATCATATGAAACACTTATAGACTATTATTATTATAAAGGAATGCACCCACTTCATTGATCGGCCCCAGTGTTACATAATAAGGACTAACATATGTATAATATATCATAATTCTTAGTTAGTCCTTCTGCATTAGTACATTTCACAAATCGAAATTACTCTTAGTGCCACCAATCACAATAAAACCATCCCAATTAAAAAAAGCGAGACACACTGCATCAAAACCATCCAACCATACGGACTCAATCGATTTGCTGAAATCTCTGGATAGACAGATATCTTTGACATTCCTGCCTAACAAGAGACATGCTTAGCTAAGACACACAGGTTATGAACTTGGGTAAGTTTTTCCGTACCTCCACGACCACCACGGCCTCTTTGGAAGGTTCCGCGGCCTCCTCTGCCACCACGACCTCTCTCAACCCATCCTCCTCCCCAGCCACCCTGCTGATCCTTTGGAGTTGCCAACTTAACGTCAACCTTTAAAATTACAAATAGGTCCTAATTAAAGAGCAAAGAAGATAGTTATGGGGGTCAGTATCTACACAATTACATCAGCTTGATATTCACTACCTATCACAAGGAAGTTGTTGATCCAACACTATGGGATATTCTAGCAGGTACAAAGTTACAATTGCCACACTTTATACATAACAACTAAATCTTTAATGCCCAATCAGTTATCTTATGACTTGATCAGGCTACATTATGCATCTATTTTCATCTCTGCATTTGACTTGTTTTAAAAACCTCAATACTGAAAATATGAGAGCACACTAAATAATTAAAACAGGATCACAAATATATAATCACATTATACAGCAAAACATTGTTGAAAATTAACACATTCAATGTCATTACTAACTCAACAGCAACTGTTAGAAAACTATTCGTCTTTTATTAGAATGCTATTAATGACACACATGAACCAGACATGTACACACTATAAATCCCTCACCGAGGCATACTCACCTCGTGGCCACCAATCGTCTGCTTCAGGGACTTGACAGCTTCCTGCGCACCCTCTCCCGTCTCAAACAGTACAAAGCAGAAGTTTCGCCGCGCGCTCTTCACCTTGTCGAACGGAAGCGCCAACTCGGAAATCTGGAACAACCCGCATGAAGAACGCGCTTAGACTCGGCTCCCGACCACAACGTACGACATCAGACACAGGCCCCAGAAAACGAACAAAGGAAGTTGGACGGGTGTATCCAATACATTACCATATTGAACGAGACCACGGTGATTGGATGTAGTTACCACGGCTACAGTTACCACGCTGAAATGTCAACAAACGTGAACCCACTTTCGACGAATCGACCACGATGACTATACAGAAGCGCCACATGGAAGAACGACGGCACATGCTATCGTGTCTCTGAAATGGAATTCGCTGCGCAGAAGCAGTATTGTTAACGGCAAATTACTTTTATAGAGCACTGTGACAAGCTTCAGTACACACAAGATGCGCTTCCGCTTAAGAAACTGCCTCTGTCTCATACATAGTTTGAGCCCAAGTTTTTGGTTTTACCAAGCATCTTGGTTTGGTTGCCATTCTCTTCAGTGCTCTGTCAGCGCTCATCTTGATAATAAGCACTGTATATCTGCAAAAACAAGGTGTTGTGTTGTAGTCACAAGTCCAACATCATCCATCACTTGTTCCTGATCTTTTCCAAAGGTTCTTGTAAGTAAGCAGTCCTTGTTTGTGTCGAGATGGTCGCTTACTTGCATAGCAACACGGTACGACTTTTTCAACGATGAGGAGTCCAAAATGCGAGAATCGATCCGAATTCCGAAGCGAGTCGAGTCCTGATGAATCTTGTTGTTATTACATTTAAATGATAGATAATAGCTCCATTCTACCGCTGACTGTTAATCTTTAATATGCCACCAATGGTCATCAGTTGATTGTAACCCACAAACGATAGCAGTGACCAAATGTGTCCAGGAAACGCATGTACATGTTTGATATGCCAAATATCACGATGCACTTGCAATCCAGTGATGCTCAGCACAGTAGAGAGAACAAGGCATGCTTATATCAAACTATTCGCTGCATACAACTTACAAGACAAACATCGCTCGTGTTATTCCCTCTCGCGTATATGACAACATTGCTTGCCACGTTTACTATGACATTCAATGGGAAATGGCACTGCATGAATACACACAGGACATGCATATATAACTCGGTGACACTAGAACATCGCTATAGATTGCAGCACACAATTTGACCGAGTTCTGTACAAATGAAAGTGTCAATGACACTGTAGCTCACCACAAAAAAGGACACAAATGAGTGAGTAAGAAGAAGTCAGTTTTAATTGAGCAACCATCGACGTACATTATAGAAACGATTGCCATCTGTATATCGCAATAATAATTTATAAACCAAAATGAATCACAATTTGTGACCGTAGATGGCGCTATACCCGCTTTGTAGCGATGGCGTTTGAAATAAATAGGTTATGCTGCGTTCCGACATGTTTTGTAAATCTTTACTCTAATATAGACGTTTTATCGGCAGGGTGGAGAGGAAATACCAATTTTGCATTAAAGATATTGTCAATGAAATCTTGTAAAACGAACCAGACGAGTGTGACACCACAGACTGTTTGTGTCTATATAATATGCTATATAATTACCAAACCCTACCTAATTTGCATTTTTTTTTTTAAATATAAAAACCCCTAGCCCTTATTCATTCACATCCCAAAAATGAGCAAAAATCCGTTGAACCTGAACTGACTAATGGCAATTCCCATACTTCATATCTACATTGAACTTATTCTGCATTGGGGGATAAAAGAAGCCTATTGCAATTAAGGAGATAAAGCATATAGACACACCACCGGTAGATTACCCTTTGATATCACAACACATAGCTAATGTCACACACCACAACGTACACAATCTTAGCTTGCAACTCCTTTCAAGTAAAAAGTATATTGTCAAGACTTGGTGACATTGCCAATTACCGATTTAGGTTTCTGTAATCAGTAGAAATGTTATAAACATACACACCATGTGAATATATTTATTAGGACTCCTACTATGAACTTTAAACACGATGAAAACCATTACTTTTGTTGGTTTGCATTGGCATTAGCAACAAAACACCTCATGAAGAATGGATTACAGAGGAATATGTAAGACTACGTACCAATATTAGCCTCACATGAATTTAAGGTTCCTATGCTAATAGATTATTCTATAGCAAGTTTATTTTGGAAGCCATTTGTCTTTTATGCTTACAGAATGAGTATACCTGTATGCATATTTAGAAATAGAACATTCACAGAAACTTTTAGATTATTTGAGAAGTAAATCCCTAAATACGTTTTTGCAACGTATATATAACAATAAATCTTACACAGCTGATGCTTCTACTTTGCTACAAACAAACAAATAAATAGATGAATTAGTCACAAACATTGAAACCAGTCACATCACAATAAAGTTATAATTGTGCAATTTAAGTGACATGATCATGTTAACATAGGCAGCGCCTTGATACTCTATGCATGTGCCTGCTTTAAACTGTATATAAAAACTAATACAAGTCCACCTATAGACAAGAACCTGAAATATGAATTACATTTACCAGTTGCGTATAAATTAGGAAATTGAGAAACCTGTCTACAACACATACATGATCATAGTGCACACTTATTATTTAAAATCAGGATAATGGGTATTTCACCTGAAAATTACAAAATTTTAATCCATGTATACCTTTCAGCCACACATGGAGCTGACAAAATGAAGGCTATGCTATCAAATTACCTTTCCAAACTTCTCAAAATGCTTTCTGATCTCTGCCTCTTCCAAATCAGCTGGCACACCTCCAACGAACACCTTCTTGATTGGCTCAGGCTTTGGTCGTTTGTTTGCAACCTTTGGATCAATCTGTTTTCCTTTTAATGTGTGTGTTGTTGCCATCACCTAATACAAAATACACAAAACTGATTAGCACATTCATTATGTTGAATATACAAGGCTATCATCTGCTCCTGCTGCTCCTGCTACTGCTAACACCACCACAAACTATTACCACCGACTTCTGTTAAGTTATGAAATCTTATGAGTATTGATTACTAAACTATCCTAATAATAACAAATATCAAATTTTTCTATTACTTTAGAAAGTTTAGATGAGCAGTACCGATCAATCCGTTTCTGTCACTTACTAACTAGTATTGCAAGTGGGGAGCTTTGTGACTATTAAAAATTATTACCTTTTCAATAGAATCTTTCGATGCAAAAACAATAAAGCCAAATCCCCGAGATCTTCCAGTATTTGGATCCGTCTTGACAATGCACTGCACTACCTCACCGAACTTTGAGAAGTAATCTCGTACATCCTCTGCAAAAAAAGCAATTTAGAATTTTTCTACAAGTCCATAAAAAAAATTCCATTGTTGAAAAGCTATGCACACACACACACAGAGAAAGAAACAACTTTTTATTTATAGGTACACCACTTATAAAACTCACTGTGTTAATACATCTAGGCATATAATATCATTGCCACCTTGCAATAAGTAGTGTTCCAAGACACAAACTCACTGCAGCTAACTATGGGTACTTACTTTGTGTACTTTCCCAGCTTAGTCCACCAACAAAAAGTTTTCTGAAATGAAATAGTGAAAAGTTACATTATCCTATCAAGAATAACAATTCAAATATATTGCTTTGTACGCTACAATAATTAACTTCAATCAAATGCAATAAAATATACTGATATGGCTAGTTATTTTGGTTAACTCGGAGAATAAATGCTGCATAGACGACTTGTGGATTATTATAGAGGAATCTACTAAGTAGATTCAATAATGTATCCTTAATTGAATCATGGTTATTGGTACAATCTCCCAAGCTGATCAGTGGATTTTAATTCACTTTCTGGATCTTTTTCATTATTTCTAACTGGATATCACACGAAGAAACTTGAAACAGAATATAAATAGTTAACAGCTTTACATTTGAATAATATTGACAAATTTTACACATCTTGTAATCTCGTAACGATAAACAGAGGAGTGTGACATTTTAAAATCAGATCGCTAGATTGACACTGCGAACAGCAGCAGAGCTAGGTTTCAATGCCAGAGTTTACTATAGATGATTGGACCGACTTCCAGTAATGATTTACCAAAACAAAGAAACAAACTTTTAATCAATCTTTTGAGGATGAGAATGGCATAAACAGGCACTCGGGCAATTTCAATAACAAATTCTAGTACATAAACACGATATGTGATACTACTAGTTTATCTGACTTCTTTTGCCTATTATTAGTACATGGTTCATACAGGACTGGAAATGTTTTCAAGGACTTTTCAAGGACATTTTATCGGAATTCATACACAGAACAAAACATACCTGGATTAATTTAATAATTTAACCCCATTCTTAATCACTGTCACCTCTAAAACTTACCCGGATCACATTAATAAACCCTTCTAAACAATGTCACTTCTACAACATACCTTGATTTACTGACTTACTGTAATTTGTGATCATCATTTAACTGTCTATCGTGTCTATAGCTTTTTAAGCTTATTTAACGCAATTTTTATTGAGGTTTGCACATTATTGATGGTACAAAATTTCTTTTTATTACAGGCAAGGATTCTTTCTAAAAATTCAAGGACATTTTCATGAAATTCAAAGACTTTTCAAGCACAACATCAACATTTACTAAATTCAAGTACTTTTCAAGGGCTTCCCTCAAATTCAAGGACATTTTATCGTAAATTCAAGGACATTTTATCGGACTTCATACACAGAACAAAACATACCTGGATTAATTTAATAACCCCATTCTTAATCCCTGTCACCTCTAAAACTTACCTGGATCACATTAATAAACCCTTCTAAACACTGTCACTTCTACAACATGCCTTGATTTACTGACTGATTTTTTAGTGACTTACTGTAATTTGTGATCATCATTTCTATCGTGTCTATAGCTTTTTAAGCTCATTTAACGCAATTTTTCTTGAGGTTTGCATATTATTGATGGTACAAAATTTCTTTTTATTACAGGCAAGAATTCTTTCTAAAAATTCAAGAACATTTTCATGAAATTCAAGGACATTTCAAGCACAAAATCAACATTTACTAAATTCAAGTACTTTTCAAGGACTCCCTCAAATTCAAGGACTTTTCAAGGACTGTGCAAACCATGAAACACTGTCTGTCAAATTCAAATTCAAATAAATTTGATTGCACAAATATCTCACAGATACTTTGGCAGTATGTTGCGAGATGGCGTTGTGTACGATTCAGTGTTTACTTCCGTTCCGAGTTCAATTATCAATCTTGAAAACATGCATCCTGATCAAATTTTTAGAATTTTTTTTAGTTTTGGACTTTATTTCGTCGAAGTACACGTTCGACACTCGCGGCATCTACTGCTCTACCGATTTAGCTGGTGCTAAAATTTGGCTCGGGCCTGGTCAGACGTTTTCGATGGGACCAAATTGGCTCGTGCTAACTCGGCACGGCCCCGAAAAACCGTGCGTGTGAAAAAACGCTCGGCTCAAGACAAATTTGGCACGGGCAAAATAATTAGGGCACGAAGGGTCGTTGTCGTATCAGGTACTACATATATGTACCCGAGGTAGTTTTAGGTTGTTTAGTATTATGTTTATATTTTTATATGAGGTATGTTTAGGGTTAGGGTACACTTCTGTATTACAAGTCTGGTACACTTTGTGTATACATATATGTACCTCGGCAGTGAAAAAATTAATTTTTTTCTTTCCGGGGCTCTTTTTGCAAAACCCCCCAAAATTTCGGGGGCTACTTTTTCATTTTCCAGGGCTCTTTTTCCACTTTCTAGGGCGACTTTTTTCCAGGGCTGTTTCCTCAAATGTACACACAAGCACAGTAGCTAATACACACTCGTGGGGGCGCGCACACACCACACACACGTCACACGCACGCACGCACGCACGCACGCACGCACGCACGCACACACACACACACACACAGACACACACAGACACAACAATCAATATTCAAGACAGTTATTCATCAGACTGACAGACTAACATGATAATCACAACTCACAAGTCACAACCACAAATGCACCTTGAATAGTGAATACATCACAGGTTCAGCTAAACACAGAACTATTACGGCTAGCCCAAATAGTGGAATGTCCGCCTGTACGAGCTAGGAGGATCGATTGTTTAGGCGCGAAGTCTCTTGCGGCTGGGGTCCAAGGCCCGCGTAAGGGCCCTGGAAGCTCAGGGGGTTTGAGAAAGCGGCCCGCGAGGCACGTGTGAATGGCTGTGCACATCGACGCTGCGTACGTGCCTGCTGGCAGGGGCGGCATTGATTGAAGTATGGGGGGGGGGCACGATTGTTTCAGCGTGGTACTAATCACTACTAAAATTTAGAGGGTTGGCATTGCTGGACTATGAGAGAGCGGCAGCAAAACTCTTTCGGGGAATTGACAAAAAAAGCTACAATCGGGAATGACACACGAGTGTGCCGCCAGGGAAAAATATACGTGTGAATTTCATTAGGATTTTCCATGGATTACCGTTCTATAATCCTACGGGTCGTTGGTCCTACGGGTCTACGTAGGCACGCCCGCAGGCACACCCGCACACACGCACGCATGCAGGCACGCACGCGCACCGGCACGCCCGCACGCACGCACGCGCGCAGGCACACACGCAAGCACGCCTGCAGGCACACCGGCACGCACGCACGCGCGCAGGCACACACGCAAGCACGCGCACAGGCACACACGTATATATACGCGCGGGCGGCGGCGCGCGCTTGATTGAATGCAATACAGTACAGTACACACATGCATGCTTAATGATAAACACTTGACAGCCACACCGTACCAGGAATTCTACCGCGCCGTGGAACCGGCTGCCGCTAGCGGCAGAGGCCGAGCGAGATCGGCAAGGCGCGGGACGGACCTGGACAATCGATTTCCAGGGCGACTTTTGCTTTTGGGGTCGCCCCCGATATCATATTTTCGGGGGCTCTTTTTGGCATTTCGGGGGCGAAATCGCCCGCCGCCCCCGTGTATTTTTTCCCCTGCTTGCTAACCTCTGTGGCCTGTACCCCGGCCTTTGTGCAGTGTTGTATGTAGTATCTGAGGGTAAGGAATTTGGAAAGTGTCAGATTTATCCATTTTACACCTCTTCTAGGTAGTAAAAATAATAGTTTTGCCAATAATATAATTTGATTCGCTTGTCCATTTACTGGTTACTCTTGCTTCTAGCTTGGTTTTCGGGTCTTAATGTTATCTTGCTCGAGCTTGTTGTAGGTTGTGGTTCTAATTCACCCAAGAGCCCAAGAACTAAGAGACAAGAGCTAGGCCCTGGCCACAGGACGTGTTCCCTATATTTATTTTATCAGAGTGCACCCACACTCTTTAAACATAGAGAACTCAGACTTAAGAATGGGTTTCACTTCCTATCATTAGGCCATTGTCTCCATCTTGCCACCTTTCTAATCTCTTGTTTTGCTGTCTCACATTGTTTCTCGCTATTGCACTCCACTTTATGACAGACTTGGAAACTTGGAATTCTCACGCATCTATGGGTTATACTGAGCTATTGAATACCTTGGTGCATTAATGGCTTCTTACAAGTATTCCTATATAATATGCTTCTTTAAAACTTTCCAACTCTCTTGCAGTCGTGTTTATATCCAGATTGGGAATGCTACTGGTAGGCTAAGTACCTTATAGTTCAAGCGGTGTTATCTAGAGTAATTGGCAGAATTATCATTGTGTAACACAATATTCAACGTTTCAGAAATTGGCAGAGTCTATGGAAGTCCTCCAAGCTAGAGAAGCCCAGCTACTCCAGTACAGCAAGGAAAACGTGGCAGTTCGAGAAACAAACAACATCCTCCGAAAGTATTTCTATATACCAATGTCGATATGGTGGTTTTATGCATTAGTTGGTTCGTGTCATCATGTCCCTTAGTTTGCATACCACAAAGCACGTGTTGTGACTTGAATCGAATTTTTTAGTCTGATGGTCTTGTTTGCTTAATCGGATTCTGAAACGAGTAACAGTTACAATATTCATCGGTTAATTACTTCACTTCACTCTCATATGATCTCGCTTAGTTGTAAAAGTATCGTGTGCTTTGCAGCCAGATCGCACAACAGGAGCAAGAATATGCAGCAGAGAACACTGACCTAAATACATTGACTGTAGAATTTACTGCCAGGATCTCTGAAGCAGAGAAAAGACTAAAGACTGTAACCAGGGTACATACTCTTGCATATAACTACCGATGAAAAGATTTCAGACAGTGTATCAACAATCACTGTATTCAAACAGTATATAAATCCCCCTGAATCTTTTTTCTTTGCAGCCCATGCCTAATTGTGTTTGGTAATAATGTTATGTCCGTAATCACCGTGCAGATTTTCCCTCCATAAAATTAACGTTATACAATAGCAGTTACGTCATTGATAGCATTCAGGGGGTTGACAGTATGTAGGTTGCTATGTCTAAGACGTGTTGCATGATTTCTGTCCTAGGAGAGGGATGCCTTGAAGAGACAGCTTAGGGTAGCTCAGGAAGAAGTATCTTCTCGTATGAACATGGCAGAGACCACACAACTACTGAAGGAAAAGGA